ACAACACAGGCAACAACCACAGAGACTTCTACCCTGACTGAATCTACCACAACACAGATTACCACCACACCCGAGACCATTCCCATAACCACATCCACCACAACACAGACAACCACTACACTGACCTCTACCTTAACCGAATCTACCACAACACAGACAACCACCACACCTGAGACCACTCCCACCACCTCAGGTACCACAGCACAGACAACCACCACCAAACAGACCACTACTGCAACCACATTAATCACTACCACAGAGACAAACCCCACAACCACATTCACCACAACACAAACAAGCACCACCACAGAGACAACTCCCAAGACTATGCCCACCGAAACACACACAACGGCCATAGAGACCTCTACCCTGACTGAATCTACCACAACACAGACAACCACCACTCCTGAGACCACTCCCACCACCTCAGCAACCACAGCACAGACAACCACCACCACACAGACCACTACCCCAACCACATTAATCACTACCACAAAGACAAACCTCACAACCACATTGACCACAACAGAGACAAGCACCACCACAGAGACAACTCCCAAGACCACGCCCACCACAACACACACAACGGCCACAGAGACTTCTATCCTGACTGAATCTGCCACAGCAAAGACAACCACCACACCTGAGACCACTCCTACCACCTCAGCAACCACAGAACAGACAACCACCACCACACAAACCTCTACTCCAACCACATTAATCACTACCACAAAGACAAACCCCACAACCACATTGACCACAACACAGACAAGCACCACCACAGAGACAACTCCTATAAACACGCCCACCACAACCCAGGCTACAACCACAGAGACTTCTACCCTGACAGAATCTACCACAACACAGACAACCACCACACCAGAGACCATTCCCACAACCACTTTCACCACAACACAGACAACTATTACAGAGACCTCTACCTTTACCGAATCTACCACAACACAGAAAACCACCACACCTGAGACCACTCCCACCACCACAACAACCACAGCACAGACAACCACCACCACACAGACCACTACCCCAACCACATTAATCACTACCACAGAGACAAACCCCACAACCACATTGACC